TGCGACTACTGTTACATTTTGTTACCATTGTTATCATTCTTGCTGTCGGTACTATGACTTCACTAGCTTCCGATGCCAGGCCGGCAAAACCCTAAACCCTAAACCCTAAACCCTAAACCCTAAACCCTAAACCTATTCATACCATGCGTACTCCAAGTGGACCTCGGAAGTCCCAAGCTTGCAGTATTGCTGGCCCGTTAAGCCCTCTAAATTACGACCAGAAAGCCCCTTTGAATGTTCATTCCCATGGTGTATCAAATGCCATAATGGGAGTATGTGGGGATGTTCCCCCGTACACTAACAGTCCTTAATGGGGATTACAATCGGGGTACGATGATCCCTATTAAGGACTGTTTGTATAAAGGGGGGGGGGGTTTGATATCCGATGCAGCGAGGGCGGTTGACAGCTACTGATGCCATGTTCGAATGTCCTTATATCTATATCTTAGTAGACAAACGTACAACACATTACTACATACTTCGTATCAGAATATACATGGTGATTTCTCTACATTATGGCCCCCGTTTGGAGCCCTGATTAAAAGGTTGCCCTCTTGTATATAGGGTGCCCAAAAAGGCACCCTAATTTAGAGAACTCACCACATGCATGATATGAGATGAAGAAAGCGGTTGCGTCTATGTCGCCGACACTGCCGGCCAACTGTCACAATGCTGAGCCAACAGCGCATCCGGATATTTCGCGTCCTCTTCCTCCCAACCTGCTCCAGACGCACTGCTTGCCCTGTCAGTGCCCTCTGTGTGTGTGTGTGTGTGTGTGTATGTGTGTGTCCCTTCCCTCTCTCCTCTCTCCCCTCCTCTCTTCCCTTTTCCTGGTCTTTTTCCTTCATGCCTCCTTTTTGCTCTTTTCATTTGGCCTTCTTGTCTGTCTGGTTCCGCCGCAGTCTCCAACATTCGATTTCATGAGAGGTCTTGTGGTGTTGGACGGTAAGTGCAGCTTGACGGGTGGTCTTCGCAGGCCGTTCATGCCCACCGACGACGACGCACTGCTGGCAATGAACAAGGGCCGCTTGTTCCCGCAATTCGCAACGTGACCCTAAAAGCCCCAAACCCTAAACCCCAAACCCTAAGCCCTAAACCGGACACCCTAAGCCCCAAGCCCGAAACCCTTCACCCCAAACCCTAAAAACCCCAAGGCCACTCGGCCTGTTGCGGTCGAGGCGATCTGGTCCCACTCCGGAGAGGTGCGGGTCAAGATCGGCGCCAGCCTTGGAGGGATTCGAGGGTTTAGGGTTTGTAAGGTTTAGGGTGAAGGGTTTCGGGTTTAGGGTTTGTGTGGTTTAGGTTGTAGGGTTTCGGGTTTAGGGTTTGTAGGGTTTAGGGTTTAGGGTTTAGGGTTTAGGGTTTAGGGTTTAGGGTTTAGGGTTTAGGGTTTCGGGTTTCGGGTTCAGGGTTTGGGTTTTAGGGGACTTGTAAGGTCTGCAAGGTTTAGGGTTTAGGGTTTAGATCGACTTGTAAGGTTTGTAAGGTTTTAACGGGTCGGGCTTGCGGCTTCCGGTATAGTGTTTGGGGCGAATGTAAGGACCAGAAGGGCTTAGGTCGGTAGGATTTCTACATCGTGCGGCCCTCACGAAAGCCAAAACGATGAATCCAAGCCTGTAAGCCTCAAAGCTCTAAACCAATATGGGGGTTTCCGCAAGAATAGTGGACCCCTAACATAGACTTGAAATATTCGGATTCCCTTATACAAGGAACCCCCAATAAGGTACCCCTAATTTCCGAAACCCCCCATATGGGCCCTTCCTCGGCGGGTCTGCGCCATGAAGCCCAAAGGTGGTCGGTTTTCTCCCCTCGGACCCATCAAGTCCAGGCCAAAGCAGCCATGAAGACATGGGAAGCAGATGCAAGGACCAACCAAGCTAGGAGCTTTAGGGCCTAGGGTTTAGGGGGTTTAGGGCCAAGGATTTAGGGGTCTAGGGTTTAGGGGGCCCAGGGTTTAGGGGATGGCGACAGATCGCACGCCCGTCGCAGTCTTCCGCCAAAATGCTGGCAATGTCTACTTGTAGCGCAGCCGAACATGGAGGAAGCCCTGACCAAGACAAAGCTGGAAACAAACGGTCCGACATATCGCGCATTTCCAGTACTGTACCTTCTTTGTCGGTTCTTGCTCTGAAAGTCTTTACATAGCTAAAAACCCTAAATACCCCTATTGGGATGTTCATAACAGTCCTTAAGTACTCTAATCCCTGCTAAGGACTGCTTGTATAAGGGGGAACATCCCAACTCTAAACCCCAAAACCCTAAAAACCCAAAACCCAAAACCCAAAACCCCAAAACCCCAAAAACCAAAACCCACAAAAACCAACAAACCCAAAACAAAACTCAAAAAACAAAAAAACCAAACAATACCCAAAAACCCAAGAAAAAAAACACACACACACACACACACACAACCAAAAACAAAAACACAACCCCCCAAAAACAACCTAAAAGCCCTAAACGCCCTACAAACCCTAAGAACCCTAAACCCTAACGAGGCCCAAGAAAAAGATACCCCTTGCGTGGCTTGGGTCCAGGCACCCACGCCGGGCCGACGCCAAAGAAGCCTAGCACCACCTTTGGCTCTTAGGGTTTCAAGGGCTTCGGGATTAGGGTTTAAGGGCTTAGAGGGTTCAGGATTTAGGGTTTCTAGGGCTTGGGGTTGAGAGTTTAGGAGGGTTCAGGGCTTAGGGCTTGGGGTTTAGCACTTAAAGCTTAGAGGGTTTGGGGTCTCAGGCTCTTTGGTTGGGAATCTCCTTGGGCTGCAAGGGTTTGCGGGCTTACAGGGCTCTGATCTGGGTGTCATACGGTCACTTCTCCAAAATTTATGGTCGGTTTGGGTTGGGGTTGCGATTCTAGAGTTGACTCCTCTTGTTTAGGGAATCTGTTCTGTTTTGGGGTTGCAATTCTAAAGTGGCCCCTTTTATTGTTGGGGTCCCCAGAAGGGGAGCATAATTTTGAGAACCGACCATATACTCTTTGAGTCTATTTTGGGAACCCCTCTAAACCTGTCATGTAATATAAGGGGGGGGAGACAAAGAGAGCCTCTTTACACGCCCAACCTTGCAACAACACTTTTGCATACCCCGCCTGAACCCCTCATCCCGAAACTGCCCTACAAACCCTAGAAATCACTCAACGGCAGGAAGTCCTCTGAAAACCCTTCGCGTGGGAAAGGGCAACCATATTAGGGTATGATTTTTGGCGGTTGGCTATATTGAAAGGTAACTGGAACCCAAGAAAAAAGGGCAAAAGGGGACCACTGGGCTCCCCCAAGTTTACAAACCCCAAAAAGCCGCGGTTTAGTGCTTAGGGCTTAGGGTTTAGGGTTGCGACTTTTGAGCTCCCCACGCCGGACATGGCGCCAAGGAGGACAAACCTCGCAAGTTGGAGATAGGGCTTCTACCCGACACAGAGAAACCTAGGAAGAAAAATGGGGTGCCCTTTTTCGTCTCGAGGGGCGTATATGGAAAGGACACCCCAATCCCCTAAACACACACACACGCACACTGCCAACCACAACACGAAAAAAAAATAAACGCCTTACCCCTCCCCCAAACCCTAAACCCTAAACCCTGAACCCTCAAAACCCTAAACCCTAAACAATAAAAACCCTCAAAAACCCTCAAAAACCCTCAAAACCCTCAAAACCCTCAAAACCCTCAAAACCCTCAAAACCCTCAAAACCCTCAAAACCCTCAAAACCCTAAAAACCCTAAAAACCCTAAAAACCATAAAAACCCTAAAAACCCTAAAAACTCTAAACCCTAACACACACACACACACTGACTGCCACCACAAAACCCAAAAAAACCCAAACGCCCTTTGAACAAACAAAAGCTCCCTTGGAGCCACCTTCTTAGCTGGTCCACCGGGGTGTTGTCGTATTCCAGCACGAGCCTCAAAACCCGGCAGGGTTTGAGAGCTCTTCGGGTTTTAGGGCTTTTGGGTTTTAAGGTTTAGGGTTTTGGGGTTGAGGGTGTTAGGGCTTGTAGGGTGTTAGGGCTTTAAGGTGTCGTGTTTTGGGTTTTAGGGTCTTTAAGGTTTCAGGGTTTTAGGGCTGTTAAGGTTTCAGGGTTTTGGGGTTGAGGGTTTTAGGGCTTGTAGGGTTTTAGGGGTTGTGGTTTTGAGGTTTTAGGGCTTTGGGGGGTTTTAATGTCAGGCCTTTGGGCCTCTGCGGTTGAGGTTGTTGATACGGGCATGGCCAAGAAGGATGCGGGTTCAATGAAACCCCAAGCCGGCAGTTTGGGGTTTTAGGGGTTTAGGGGTTTAGGGGTTTAGGGGTTCAGGGTTTTAGGGGTTTAGGTGCCATGAGGATTGTGGAGCGGAGACTCATGCCTTCAATGTTATTCTCTCTTTGGGTAGGAGGGGAGGGTGGGAGTCTTGGAATAGAGGGACAGGATCCATGATCCATACAGAGATCGTCTAGTCTTGTGGGAGAAGCAAAAAAAACACTCTGCAACCTGTGTCAACCACATGGCTTGGGCAGTCCTTAATAGGGCCCTTTTGTAACCCCCTATTCTATTCCCTACAAAGGACTGTCACTGTTAATAAAAGGGGGAACATCCCGAAACATGGCCTGTATTGCTGAGCCCGATCGCGCCGATGGGACAGAGGTGAGACCGTGACGGAGGCTGCACGATGCTGCACTGGAGCCTCTCAAGGCGCCAAGCGCCCAGTGTTTATGAAAGACCTGATGGGTAGTTCTCTAAACTAGGGTCCTTTTATTGAATCCACTAAAACATACGGCAACCGCAGATTAAGGACCCGAAAAAGAGACCCTAAATTAGAAAGCTACCCACATAAGCTGGTAAAAGCCCTAAACCCAACGGCACTCGTGGCTCGCGAGCCAAGGCGTGACTCGCCTGGAGACGCCAGAGGCAAGCTGCGCAGTCCACTTTCGCCGCCGCAGCAGCTGCGAATGGTTCAAGCGCCGTATCCCATCTTCTACCCTAAACCCTAAACCCTAAACCCTAAACCCTAAACCCTAAACCCTCACCCCTCTACTTCAGACCAGCTTTCTGGAGGACTACCTCCGCGGCAGCTGCAGGTGCCAGCTGCACGTCCCAGCCGCGGCCGGAAAATCTCCTTGCCGCCAGAGATAACAGACCTTTTGTATTCTGGGGATCTGCAAATCGCTGGTTCACCATGCTTGTCAGCTCTGGGTCACCAGAGCCCATGGCAGCAGCCCAGGCTTGTCGGCTAACACATGCACCGGCTTGCAACATCAGTCGCACGACGTCGATGTGACCACCGGCACATGCCCCCTCAAGTGCACCAACAGCAGCCCAGGATTCGGTAGCCCATGACGGCGTCTCCGCGTCCTTGCGCTCCAAGAGCAAGCGCACGATGTCGAAGTGGCCATGCCCGCACGCGGCATTCAGACCTCCCCAGATGTGTTCCAGGTACAAACCGCTGTCTCTAGGGCCATTTTCATCACCAGCGAACTCCAGCAGAAAGCGCACCATGTCGATCTGACCTTCGCGACATGCGTTGCTCAGAGCGCCATCGACAATATATTGGGGCGGATCCCTGAAAACTGCAGCTTTCGCCAGGAAGCGCGCGAACTCGACATGACCAAGTCTCGCGGCCTCCTCCAGAGCGTCAAGCACATCTTCAGCCAGCACACCCGTTTCCAGCAGCCGGCCGGCCACCTTCACCTTACTGGGGGAATGAGGTACCCTATATCATCCCTTCAAGGGTATTTATAAGGGCCTCTAATAGTTCCCTCATTCCCTCCCGAATATAATCCCTTCAAGGGTATTTTAGAAGGGGCCTAGTTCCCTCATTCCCTGCCAACCAGCAGTTAAGTCACATCACCTTCCGCAGCCGCGTAGGAAGCAAGCTCCTGGGCAGCGTCCACCGGACTCGCGGGGACCATCAGCAACTCCAGCTCAGTGGGTGCCTTCAACCCTAAACCGTCTAAACCGTCTAAACCGTCTAAACCGTCTAAACCGTCTAAACCGTCTAAACCGTCTAAACCGTCTAAACCGTCTAAACCGTAAACCCTAAACCCTAAACCCTAAACCCTAAACCCTCAGCTCAGTGGGTGCAAGATGCCGGTGCCTTCAGCCTGGTGTCGTTGTCCAAAGCATTGCCCTCGTGCTTGAGCTGCTGAAAGCAGACCTGGGATGGCCCTCTTGGAACCCTCTGGGAAATATTCCTACCAGGGGTTTAGGGTTTAGGGTTTAGGGTTTAGGGAACTCTAATTACCTTCAGGTTAGTAGGAGGAACTACCCTTAAGTCCTAGGTATGACCCATACAAGCTGTAGGCAAAGAGGGTCCCAGGTAAATATGATCCTCTTAAACCCAATAGGAGAAAACACAAAATTACAATCCCAAGGGCGGACCTAGATACGGGAAAGCCATGCCTCGATCTTAAAAGCTCCTTCAAGGCACTCACGTCCTCAAGCCCTTCCAGCTCCTTCGTGGTCAGGGTCAGGAGCTCACTCCCGGTCAAGGCGTTCCGGATGTGGAGCATTGCTTACGGCCAAATGGCAACTTGCTAAGGGAAATTGCCCACAAGCTCTCTAGTACTAAGTGGGAGCCTTGTCTAAGTCTTGCATTGTACCCTACGCTGGAATAGAGATGGCATCTTTCTTAAAATCCGAGCGGAGCTCATCAGGAAAGCAATGGGTCATGCAGCGGTCATGCCACCTTCTTGCGCCAAGGCTTGCCGATGCCATGGGAAGTGGAACCCGAATCCCCCCTCCAAAGCAACCCTAAACCCTAAACCCTAAACCCTAAGCCCTAAACCCTAAACCCTAACCCATGAATCCTGAGCCAGCGTGTCTGACATGCCCTGACATCCCTAGACCCTAACACCTCTAAAGCCCTAAATCCCCTCAAACTTGGGATGTTCCCTCTTACAGTCCTGTATAGGGATCAAAACAGTACCCCCCACTAGGGGGAACATCCCCTAAACCCTAAACCCTAAACCCTAAACCCTAAACCCTAAACCCTAAACCCTCAACCCTCAACCCTCAACCCCAAACCCGAAACCCTAAACCCTAAACCCTACCTAAAACCTCTCCTTTGGGTCCCGGGCTTCGCCACGTCCTCCTCCGTTCGCGGCAAGTTGCCCGGGCCGAGCGTAGGGCCTGGCTTCCCCAAGTAGGGAGGAGTTTAGGGTTTAGGGCTAGGGTTTAGGGTTTAGGGTTGAGGGCTGAGGGCTGAGGGTTGAGGGTTGAGGGCAACACAGATTGGGGCAGAAGAGGTCGCAAGGTCTTAGGACTTTTCGGCTCCCTACGGTGTGTGGGGCTTGAAGCTCAGCTTACAACCGGCCTTGAAGAAATGCTCCCACAGTCTACATTTGCTTCAGAACCCCCCGCCCCGCCCTAAAACAAAAAAATAACAAATAGTCCCTTTATTATCCTTTTTGGGAAGAATATCTGAATCCTTTGAAAGGGTTTCTTAAGCAAATAGTAGGACCCTAAACCCCTACACCCCAGACCCTACACCCTAACATTCGTGATCGAAAAAAGTGGTGTGAGTGTGAGCAACGAAATGGGACCATTCTAGAGCCAAGAATTATTTGACCATTGACTGCCAAGGAACAACTCATCCAAGAGGCATTCGATCTTTTTCGGCATTTCGTTCGTGCGATGCTGTTCTATCTCAGGCGTGTACAAAAGACTTACTATGAGTGCGCTCGGGGGGGGTTAGGGTTTGAACGGTTTAGGGTTTCGGGTTTAGGGTTTAGGGTTTCGGGTTTAGGGCCTGGGGGTGGGGTTGGGGTGGTTGGGTTTAGGGGTTGGAGGGTTGGGGTTTACGGCCTTCAGGGTTAAGTGGGGCCTTATAAGGGCTTCGGATTTCGGAATGTTGGAGCATGGGGTCCAACTGCATGTGAGGAGACTGTCCTAGCCATTCGGCTGTGTGTTGCACAACCCTAGGCATTCAACAGCTGAGCTTGCACGGCACCGCTGTCACCACCGCGGGCGGCATTCCCCCAGGTCACAACAGACCCATTGCCCAGAATGGCAGCAAAAGCCATGCTGGTGCTTCGGATCTGCTGCACATCCTTCAGCTGAGCCTGCACAGCACTGCTGTCGCCACCACAGCCAGCAATGCCCCAGGTCACAACAGACCCATTGCCCAGAATGGCAGCAAAGGCCACGTCGGTACCTCGGATCTGCTGCACATCCTTCAGCTGATCCTGCACAGCACTGTGGTCGACACCAACGCCAGAAATGCCCCAGGTCACAACAGACCCATCGCCCAGAATGGCAGCAAAGGAGTTCGTGGTAGCTTGGATCTGCTGCACATCCTTCAGCTGATCCTGCACGGCACTGCTGTCGCCACCACCGCTAGGACTGCCCCAGGTCACAACAGACCCATCGCCCAGAATGGCAGCAAAAGCCATGCTGGTGCTTCGGATCTGCTGCACATCCTTCAGCTGAGCCTGCACAGCATTGCTGTCGCCACCACAGCCAGCAATGCCCCAGGTCACAACAGACCCATCGTCCCGAATGGCAGCAAAAGCCGCGGCGTTACCTCGGATCTGCCGCACGTCCTTCAGCTGATCCTGCACAGCACTGCTGTCGCCACCACCGCCAGAATTGCCCCAGGTCACAACAGACCCATCGCCCAGAATGGCAGCAAAGGCTTCCAAGGTAGCTTGAATCTGCTGCACATCCTTCAGCTGATCCTGCACAGCACTGCTGTCGCCACCACCGCCAGAACTGCCCCAGGTCACAACAGACCCGTCGCCCAGAATGGCAGCAAAGGCATCCAATGTAGCTTGGATCTGCTGCACATCCTTCAGCTGATCCTGCACGGCACTGCTGTCGCCACCAACGCAAGATATGCCCCAGGTCACAACAGACCCATCGCCCAGAATGGCAGCAAAGGCATTCATGGTACCTTGGATCTGCCGCACATCGATCAATTGATCTTGTACATGGCTGCTGTTGCCACCTTCGTCAGCCTTGCCCCAGGTCACAACAGACCCGTCACCCAGAATGGCAGCAAAAGCAGAATCGTTGCGGCAAACCTGAACCCTGCTGACCTTAAAGGTCAGCGTCTCGCCGCTACGCAAACCAGATTCCTCAAGCGTAGCTGCTCCGTCCAGAACGCTGCCGCAGGAGCCCACGAGTCTGCCCGCACCAGCCGCCAGAGCCTTCTGCGCTCTTCCCCGCAATGCTGCGACAGACTCGCCCGGTTCTGCTTCCAGCTGAACTGCTCTGCCACTCAGCAAACTCACCTGAATCGTAAAGGCCATGATGCTAGATAAGCAACCTCGACTGCTACCACGCATTCCTTAGCACTCTAGGGCTTAGGGTTTAAGGTTAGGGTTTAGGGTTTAGGGCTGCCTGATGTTGCGGGACCTGCAGTGGTGGGCTTACTCGCAGGGTTTGGAGGCAAGAGTCGGTCGAGTTGTCTGAGAGCCAGTGCGAGCAGAGTCGGCGCACACCCAGCAAGGCCTTGCTGAGTACCCTAGGCCAAGCAAGGTGAACCTTTGAGTTCTGGAAGGACAATATATAAATAAATAAATATATATATATATATATATCTCATATACATATATGTATATATGTACCCCGGAAGGTTAAAGGTTACCGTCTCAGGTACTAAGAAGGAAGGTCTTGTGCCTCTCTGGTACTCAAACCGAACATCCCTGGGGCGTTTAGTCGGGTTGAGGTTTAAATAGTAATTTTACTGGCTCTTGTATAGGGAATGTGGGAACGAAATAAACGTTTTGAGAGATTCCCTAAGGTATGACCCCGTAGAATCTTCACAATAGTGTTTCAAGGGGCATGAATTTGTGCAATGCTTGTAGGGCCTGTTTACAACCCCAAGTTTTAGCATCATTAGTATAAATAGTATCTCGGGCTCATGATAGTACTTTTGCCTGGGAGTGAAGAAGATGCTAAACACACAGTATAAAATAGGGGTGCTAAACGGGCTTGCAGAATCATTATGATTAATATTCTTATTCTTGTTATTATTGTTCTTGGTATTGAAATTGTCATGATTATTGATACTAGTATTCATCGCCCCTTTAAAGAACCAAAAGATACCTTTGATCCAAAAGATGACAGGGAATTCCAGGATTTAAAAGAATCTGGAAAGGATGGGATTCTTCTTGGCGTAAAATTATACCGTAAGAAATGCAAGAAGAGAATACCAATAAATATTGAATGTAGATGAAAAAGAGACCGAGGATGAAAGTAACAAACTCTTAGTGCCAACAATCTTTTCTCCCTTAAGTTTATTCCAGAGAAGATGTAAACCGCAGACCCGAAATCTCTTTTCTTAGCAGTTCCTGGTTTATAGTTGGGATAGTAATAAAAATTTAAAATTTTATTCTTATTGAGTTTAAGTACCCTTAAAAATGTAAAATGTTATCCCACTATGACAAAGGTTCGGGGGTTTCGGTTCAGGGTTTCAAGGGGGCGGTGCTCGGGAGCTTGCTTGCCTGGGACTTAAGGGTTGAAGGGCTTAGGGGGTATTTGGGTGACCCTAAACCCTAAACCCTAAACCCTAAACCCTAAGCCCTAAGCCCTAAACCCTCAACCCAAAACCCTCAACCCTCAACCCTAAACCCTCCAGCCGGTCTAAGGGCCTGCGACCGGCGCGGGCACACTTGGCTGCTCCAGCTTCAGGTTGCCCTCTGGCGTCATGACCTGGGAAAGGGTTTAGGGTTTAGGGTTTTTAGGGTTTAGGGTTTATTGTTTGGGGTTTAAGGTTTAGGGTTTGAGGTTGAGGGCTTGGGGCTTAGGGTGTTACAAGGGTTTGAGGTTTAGGGCTTAAGGTTTAGGGCTCGAAGCTCTAAACCATATAAAGCCCCCCAAATCCCTCACACATTCGCCACATCGCCACACTATCAGCCCCATCGCCCAAAATACGGACCCGATTGCGGGGTCCTTCTTGGTAAGGGATGGTTTAACCAAAATAGTCATTCTTATTTGGGCTGCGGCAAGTAGGTGCATCATTATAAGCTGTACACGATGGCACCCTCTAGTTTCCTGACAAGCCCCCTGGTCCAGCAGGTACTGGTCCCTCAAGACCTTGGTCCTTTGTAAGATTTCTGCAAGGTCAGTTGCTGCCCCCCCCCCCCCCCCCCCCCCCCCACAGAAAAAACAAATAAACACCTGAACCCTCAACCCTCAACCCTAACTGTCTCATTATGGACTCGAGAAGCAAGTTGGGAGCAAGCCGCTTCGGGAGCGAGGTTGCGAGGACTTGTGGGTTTAGGGGGCTTAGCTCATTATTGCAGCACCCCATGACAACCCCAAATGGTCAAAACTTTGGGGAAAGTCTATCCTAAGCCCTAAAACCTAAGCCCCAAGCCCTGAACACTAAACCCTAAACCCTAAACCCTAATTCCCACCATCGTAAACTCCCATATGTAAACTCCCTAAACCCGACTAAACATCCCGAAGTTCTGTCCCAGTTCAGCTGGGATGCGACAGCGCTGGCGTTTTGCCCCTCCGCAAGCTCCTGCGGCTCAGGGTTTAGGGGTTAAGGGGTTTAAAGCTT